TAAGTTCTCATTCACACACAAGTTTACGTTAAAAACACACGAGTTACAAAAAACAGTCGGTTATGTCTGTGAAGGTAAACAGCTGGGAAATAAATCGCTTGTTTATTTTAGATCTGTGTGGCAGCAGCAATATACGTTAAATAAATCAATAAATGCACTGCTCTGTTGTCTCCTCTGAGGCTGGGACTCTAAACAGTGTTCTGTGCAGCCAAAGGCAGACCATTAGCATTAGAACTAATACACCGTTGTCGCTTGCGAAATCAAAATGATGGTGCTATGGGTGGAAATGTGCAGATTAAGGGGCGGTAATATTATAATGAGATCCCTTTGCAATGTCACTATGGGAGCGAAATCAGACGCGCTGTTTTTTCTTCTGACGCTTGCAGAAAAAGGCTTACCAAAACAAAGTTACTGGATTAATATTTTTCACGTTTCCTTGGTTGGTAGATGCACCGGGGACCTGATTATAGCACTTAAAACCCGGAAAAGTCAAGATTTTCATGATATGTCACCTTTAAGTAAGTGTGGTGGCTGCTATGTAATGTTTTGGGAGTTAATAAGATGAAAGCTCTTTTTAACCTGGACATCCTTGAGCTTCTTTTTGTGTAAGCGATTCTCCACAGATAGTCGGCATATACTCCCTTGAGGCAATTATGAAGTTCATAATGGAAGACAGAGAGAACAAATTTAATTAAGATAAGCCTTTACCTGTTCATCTGTTTCTGTTTCTCTGTTTGTTCTCTTCGTAACAGAGCCATTAGAGGCCCGCAAAGTTCAGTTCAATTCTTTACCATTGCTCACAGTCTCTGTGAATCATAATAATGTCACGATCTGGTCTATGATTCCCCTGCTGCAGAAGTGTTAATACACAATAACTACTGAAGCAGAACTTAATTTATATTGTGTTTCTATATTGTATATTCAGCGGAACAGAACATTTTCTTGAATGACAGTTGACATTTATGATACATTGCATGGTTCCTCTGAGTCAGTGAACAGAGAGTGACCTGGACAGTAAGATGTCAGCCATTAACAGTATGTTTGCAAACTTAACTTGTATTATTAATTGAAAGCTATACATATGTGACCCACTCTGTGAAATCCAGGCTAAAGTCTCAAAATCTAATTATGAGATAACAAGCATCAACGTTTGATTTCAACCATTAATTTCACTATATAATTTAAATCTTTGACATGGTCTTACTCAGTCAATATTAAAGATATAAAGGTTACATTTTCACAGAATGTTATTTACCTTATGAAGGATGATTTTATGTAGAAAACAGTAAATCACACAAAAAAAAGACTTTAGCTGAGTTTTCACAGAGAGGGTCACATATTTGATTCATTATCCTTATTACAAAGTTATGCAAAATATTTATACAATTATACAAAATGATAGAATGCAAATTTGCATTCGCATACTAAATATGGGTATAAAAAAGCTACTGCTATTTGCGTCCCAGTGTGAATAGTAACATATAAGCTACTGTTTAAATTAATGTGAATTCAGTATTGTTTTCTTTTTGCACTGTGGTGTAAATAGCAATATAAGTCTCCCATTACAGTACAGTCTAGATAAATTGATTTATCTCTCTATTTGAACTAGGCCATCATTTGTTTTGTAGCCTACCAAACAAAAGCCATATCGACCAGTTTATGTCTTAACTCATATTTCAATATTTGATTTCCTGTTTCACCAGTACCATTAGATTCAGACGAACCATAATAGGACTGCAAGCATTTTCCAGATTTAGCATATCAAAGCATGTTCCAACTCTAATTCCAAAAAGCAGCAGATATCTGAGACGTGAGGGAAATAAAAGTAAACATTTTAATATAAAAAAAACTCTGCAACATCAAAAAAATAAAATAAGCATTAGATAGTAACAGTAAGGAAAAGTGCAGAAAATGAAAGCTTCATGTGCAAAATGTAACACTCAAATTCACCATAACTAAATATTCAGGACAAATCATGAAAAAGTTTATGCAGAATAATGATATGGAAAACAAAAGCATATACTTTCATTCATAAGTTAATATTCTATATCCTGGGAAAAACCTCAATCATCTGCCTGCTTGATAACTGATGACAGCAGCATTGGTGATGGTTATTTTTTGTTTTAAAAAATATAAATTGTACATAAAATTTTTTTAAATAAAAAGTAAATAAAAACTTTTAAAAGCATTATAAAACATTCTTAGGATTTTATTTACACTACTATTGAAATATTTGGGGTTAGCACATTTTTAAAAAAGGAAATTAATACTTTTATTCTGCAAGGACACATATTTTTCATAAGTGACAGTAAAGACATTTATAATTTAAATTTTAAATACATATTTTGTTAAATAATGATAATAAATGTTTCTTGATCATCAAATCAGCATATTAGAATGATTTCTGGAGGATCATGTGACACTGAAGACTGGAGTAATGATGCTGAAAATACAGCTTTATCATCACGCTTTATCATATGTAAATAGAAAACATTAATTTTAAATTATATTACACAATATTGATTTTTATTGAATTTAAAATAAATAATTTCCGCTTAAGACATTAGACATAAAAAAATAAATAAATTGCTCCAGAAGGAAACGCAATTCATTAAGAGCCTGGAGGTGAAAACTTTTTGAATTTGAAGATCAGGGTAAATTGAACTTATTTTGTCTTCTGGGAAACTCATTTTCTTGATTTTAAGGAGAAATTGCAGCAAAAAAAAAAAAAGAGAGATGCTTTTAAAATATGTCCTGGAAAAATAAAGATTTCTTTAAAAGCATTTAAAAATGATAACATTTTTTTTATATATAAAATGATCCTAAGGGAAAGAAAAGTTCCCCTAAAAGAAGAATTCCCCAAATACAATTTATGAACATTTCCACAGAAAGCAGATAGAGAAATAATGTGACACTCCAACTTGCAAACAGATGAAAAACTGAATGGTTTGTTGAAATGACCTCTTAAATGTGTGATTCACCAGTGTGATTATCGCTCCTGGAGGCCTGTGAAAGAGTGCAGACAGTCAGATGATATGTCTAGCTCATTTATATTCAGTCACAACTAGTTATTAGGAAAACACACAGCTCAGTTTGACTAAAATGCTTCAATGCTCATCACCTCTCTTCTTAAGCATTCAGAAAGCAAACATGCAAATGAGAAATGCTATTTCCCTTCTGAGCGTGCAGTTAGTATGTGATCTTTAACATCCGTGTTATTATTGTAATGAGTACGCTTCAACTCATGACCTGATTGATGATGATGTCAAAGCAGCAAGTAAACACGTTTAATAGTCTTAAAATGTTAAAGGAATAGTTCAGCCAAAAAAGAAAATTTACTGAAAAATAATGTATTCACCCTCAGACCATCCAGCATGTAAATAAATGAGTTTGTTTCTTCGTAGGAACAGAACTGGAGAAATTTAGCATTACATCACTTGTTCACCGATGGATACTCTGCAGTGAATGGGTGCCGTCAGAATGAGAGTCCAAACAGCTGATAAAAACATCACAATAATCCACAAGTAATCCACACGATTTATCAGTTAACATCTTGCAAAGTGAAAAGATGCATGTTTGTACCAAACAAATTCATCATTAAGGCATTTTAACTTTACAGTGTTACTTCACGCCAAAATACCAGTCCACAATTCATAACAACACTTCTGCCGGTGAAAGTCCATCCCCTCTTGTCCTCTCACATCAAAATCAACTGATGTATTTGTTTGTTTTAGACTGTTTTGTCTTATAAATGGTGCTTGATCTGTGCATATTTCTCCCCTGATTCAGACAAGATAACTTTTTTTTTTTACTGGAGAAAGTAATATTATGGACAGAAACAATGGTTGAAAACTTTTAATGATGAATTTGTTTCTTACAAGGCACCCATTCACTGCAGAGGATCCATTAGTGAGCAAGTGATGTAATGCTACCAAATCTGTTCCCATGAAGAAATAAACTCATCTACATCTTGGACAGCCTGAGGGCAAATTCTGTGCACACATTCGCAAAGCAAGAGCTAACCGGCTCCTCTTTGAGACTGAGTTTACCTGCAGTTTGCTTGTTTGGTTTGAGGTGAACTCTGAATATTTCCTCTTGTGTGGTGCACAGATACAGGACAGGAATTTGGCATACTCCTCTCTCACCTGTCAGGAAATTACAGAGACATTTATCACAGACAATAGCGAGTGCATTTTTATGATCATCAATTTATCATCATAACGAATGTGTTTGTGAGAGTTTAGCGGCTTTTAGTTTATGTTTATGATCTTTGAAGTCAACTAATGCTAATATTCTCTGTAAGATCTTAGCTCTTCATATATCAAAGGTGCAGAAACATTGTTGGTGTGTGTGTTTTTGTGTTAGATTAGTTTACATTTACATGTGTATTTAAAAAGATGTATCTTGTGTTTTGTGCTAATAAGTTAATATGTTGAATTGCCAATTTTTGTTACCGTGCTGATAAATAGTGTTTTCACTTTACTTACGATCAGTTGCAGAGCTTAAGGCCGTTCACTTGATCGCTGTCTGATTCATTTGGTCAGCCGTAAAACAGGTATTCTGTTAAAATGGCCTATATACATAATCATTAATTCCCTCTGAACACAGATTTTTGTCCAATCGGATGCTCTCTAGAATGAAAATGGTTCTGCCCCCTTATAAAACCGCCCCTGAAACTGACTAGCAAGTGACAAATTAAATTCTATTGACTACTTTTTTTAATAGGGAAAAAAGATGTCAACAATCAACATAACATAACGGATGTCTTTACAAACAACATAAACTTAAAACTACTAATATGATATTAATAATAACAGTCATTTTTCAATCATTTGATTTAATAATTGCAAATTTAAACCCAGCCACCTCTCACTAAAAACGTTTGCTATTATAACTGAACTGCAATTTTTTTTTTCTAGTGTTCATTTTAATGTTCTATTTATCATTCCCTGTCCAGTGTCAACATTTATTGTTTTATTATTACCTGTCCCTGGCTTAATATTTTGTCAAAGTGTGATTGATCATTCCATATTTTCAGCTAAACTCTGCATCTTTGTAATGAGATGAACAGGACTCACTTGTTTTGAGAGCCAGCAGTGCAGGATGAACATCAGCACCCCCTGCAGGCTGCTTAGTATGGTGAAGATGTATGACATTGGCAGAGTGTTTTCATCAAACTGAAAACAGCCAAACACCCACATGATGCCAAGGATACACAGCTGAGCAATTGCAGTAACCGTAAATGCCCTGTAGGTGGAGATAAAGATCTGCTTATAGCACACTGTTACAAATACTAAACGCATAAGTGCATAAGAGATGTCATTCAAAAACATTAACAAAAACTTTGATTGGTAGTGAGGGTTTAATAACATTTCTCACTTGATTTTGTGTAGACTGTCTAAGTCTGGGTTGAGGGAGGAAAACTTTTCTGCCAGCTTCCATATTGTTATGAGGAAGAATAATACATTAACCTGAAACGAGCAGGCAAAACGTAAAGTTTAAACAACAGCTTTAATTCTTGACATTTCTTTTAAGAGATTTTTGATTGTTGGTAATGTGGCACTTTCCAATAATAGCATAAACTATGCTGTTTAAAGTACAAACTCATGGTTTTTGTTTTGAGAACTACTTAATACAATATATTTGATAAGCAATAAGAGTAACATGAATAAGTAGTTTACCTGCACTGAAAAATGATATTATCTGAATTAATTGGTTTTATTGTTATTTATTTAAATGTTTTTTATTTAAATATTCAAAATAACTGAATCAACATACATTAGGTTATACTATTTTAAGCATTAAATTAGGAAGAAATTCCTATTTAATGTAACAATGACATGTTTTACCCATTGGATAAAATGCAACATTCCTAAAAATTCTGACAGACATTGTATGGTACTAAATATTGTGACACACGACAACAAAAAATATTGGGACCCTTTTTACATCATTGTATTGTAGAAAGCCATTTACCCATTTATATACTTTTTTAATGCAATAAAATATGTGACCCTGGACCACAAAAGCAGTCATAAGTAGCACGGGTATATTTGTAGCAATAGCCAAAAATACATTGTATGGGTCAAAATTATTGATTTTTCTTTTATGCCAAAAATCATTAGGATATTAAGTAAAGATCATGTTCCATGAAGATATTTTGTAAATTTCCTACTGTAAATATATTAAAACTTAATTTTTGATGAGTAATATGCATTGCTAAGAACTTCATTTGGACAACTTTAAAGGCGATTTTCTCAATATTTTGATTTTTTTTGCACCCTCAGATTCCAGATTTTCAAATAGTTATATCTCGGCCAGGTATTATCCTACCCTAACAAACCATACATCAATGGAAAGCTTATTTATTCAGCTGATGTATAAATCTCGAAAAATGGACCCTTATGACTGGTTTTGTGGTCCAGGGTCCAGGGTTTAGTTTGGCCTTCCCTCATTGCCTTGCTCTTGACTCTTAGATCCTATTTTCTAATATATTTTGTGGAAAGTGCCATGTTAAGAGGTACTTACAATAATTATGACACAAACTGGCCCATAAAAGCTCCAGATGAAGCCATCTGGAATGTTGAGCCAACAGCTACAGATAAAGAAAAACATCTTAATACCATCAGAAACAAACCTGAAATTCTAATTAGCGTCTGCAAAGACATCAGTAATGTCTAAAACTCACTAGTTATCGGTGCCATATCCACTTGCGTTCACTGTGACTGAAATGGCAACGATAACAGCAGGAACTCCATAACCAGCAGCAAACATATAGATGGGTCTCAGCGTTGTGTTGAAGACCAGCACCACCATGCGGAAGAGCTGCACTCCTTCCAGACACATCCAGCAGAAGGAAGCCAGGAAGAGATCCTATTTTCTAATATATTTTGTGGAAAGTGCCATGTTAAGAGGTACTTACAATAATTATGACACAAACTGGCCCATAAAAGCTCCAGATGAAGCCATCTGGAATGTTGAGCCAACAGCTACAGATAAAGAAAAACATCTTAATACCATCAGAAACAAACCTGAAATTCTAATTAGCGTCTGCAAAGACATCAGTAATGCCTAAAACTCACTAGTTATCGGTGCCATATCCACTTGCGTTCACTGTGGCTGAAATGGCAACGATAACAACAGGAACTCCATAACCAGTGGCAAACATATAGATGGGTCTCAGTGTTGTGTTGAAGACCAGCACCACCATGCGGAAGAGCTGCACTCCTTCCAGACACATCCAGCAGAAGGAAGCCAGGAAGAAGTAGTGCAGAATGCCTGCAACGACTGCACAGCCCACCTGAAGGACAGGAAGTGAACACTCAGGATGTTTATTATCAGACCCAGACAAACCAACCCTGTGTGAAGCCGCAGTTCACCTTATTCTCTGTGAGGGTGATGCCCACGACGAACACAAAGTAGGCGATGAAGAGACTGATGCAGAGGTGCAGGTGGATGGTGTTGCGTGTGCTCTGGATGGATCGCACAAAGTAAAACGTGACAATGCAGATGAGGAGGCAGATCAGAGACAGCGGCAGTCCCACCAGTGTGACCAGACGCAGCTCGTATACATCCTAGTTAAGAGAGAAAATGAAGAGTCTCCTTAACAGATTTTAACTTACAGTTAGAGTGTGAGCGCGTTAAGTATTCTTCTCTTTTTTGCAGCATGTATTTTAATCCTCTGTTGCACTGCACATATCATTAAAAATTGCAATTATTCAGGGTGTGACCTTTGACCCTCGCCCACAATCCTGTATGACTATCCTCCTATATTATATCATTGGCTGCGTCCGAAAGCTTAGGTAGCAAATCAGTGACTTTGCAGGCAGCGTTTGCGCATGAAGGAACCTGATGAGACTAATGTCAAACATCTGAGGTAGCATAAAGCATAATGATCTACAACTAATTAGAGAGGGATTTGGTGATAACTAAGCAAATATTTAATTACTACAATACTAATTTTAAAAGTTGTTCAAAAACATACATTTATACAAAAACTGACCTTAACTTTCAAACACTGTTTTATTTGTTAATTGTCTCGGAATGGAACGCACAGGATAGTGGGAAAAGGATACAGGCCATAGGTTATATACTGCATGCCTATAAGTCATTTGCACACATACAGTATGGCCAGTTTTACTAACAGCTCGCGCCAGCGTAAACTGTCTTTTGGCGTTAAAGTAGTACTGTCAGGATTTAGCCTACTAAAGATGCGCAGTGACAAATTAGCGCCGAAAAGGCGTGGACAGTTATTTTTGTGCCTGACCTTACAGAATATGCATTTGTTTCAAATGAAAAATTTATGGGAGGAGAGTAGCTATTCAAATGAATCACGCAACTCTATTTCTACTAACGTTTGCACTCGTCAAATTACTGGTATTTACTGGTATTTGTGCCATTATTTAACACCCGAAAAAGCATGTCATAAACTATTTTTTATACATGGCGGGCTAGAGTGAGCTTGAGAACGGCGCGGAGATAGTTCTGGTACTATGAAAAGGTTCCCGCGGTGCGAAAGGCCCTAGTATGGCCAGTTTTACTAACAGCTTGCGCCAGCGTAAACCGTCTTTTGGCGTTAAAGTAGTACTGTCAGGATTTAGCCTACTAAAGATGCGCAGTGACAAATTAGCGCCGAAAAGGCGTGGACAGTTATTTTTGTGCCTGACCTTACAGAATATGCATTTGTTTCAAATGAAAAATTTATGGGAGGAGAGTAGCTATTCAAATGAATCACGCAACTCGTTTTACTAACGTTTGCGCTCGTCAAATTACTGGTATTTACTAGTATTTGTGCCATTATTTAACGCCCGAAAAAGCATGTCATAAACTATGCTCTATCAAACTTCTTGCAAAACCCTTAATTTTTGGCCTGCAGTTCTTTTCAACGTACTGTGGCTTCTTTATTTCTTTATTCTTTATTTGCGACTATGCTAATTTGCTCTGCGCTTGGTAGGCTATATTGCATTGGTCGATATGAGATTGCGTCTCATAAAAGTATTTAAAAATATTCTTTAAATTTAAGTGCTCCTTTTCACAAGGGTATATATATATATATATATATATAGCCAAACCTGTGTATTTTTGCAATAAAACTGATTAACAAATCAGACTGATTTATCACCTGCAAAAATCTTTCTCCGTCCCCTTGTGTAAAATGCTTCATGCTGACAGAATCACTCTGATTCAGTATCAGACAGCTGTTGGTCATCAAAGAGACAAGTTTTGCGAACTCTGTAGATGCCTACACAGAAAAGAGAAATCAGCATTCTGGTTCATTATGAATGACTGCAATATTCGGTTACAGTAATCTAGTAAAAGTTACACAGTACCTGGGATGCTTTGCTCTCACTAAATAATCTGTTGCACTTTAGCTCTAAAAAACAAAACAAAACTATAAACAAAATATAACTAAGCAATATCACACAAGAAAAGGTATGGTTGTGATTAGGTGATCACATTTGATATTCAGACCAGTAGCACAGATTGTGTGTGTGCAAGACAGATCATTAAACAAGAATCAATATTACACTTAAAAAATTGGTAACCTAAAATGGTTAACATATTAATTACGTCAACAATATTAATATTTGGTGCAAACACATGCAACTGTTTTGTGCTATGAATTATGGGAAAGCATGAAATTTAAGAGATATTTAGGAACCAAAATAAACTTTTAACAGAGAACTCTAACCTGTGCATTTCATTTGTTTGTGACCATAGTTGGTGAATCCTAAGCTGCACAAACATTCATGACCGTCTTTGCTGTTTTTGCAGACTCCTCCTCCACATATAGATTTATCAATGTCACATACACCTTCAACAACATCAAAACAGCATTTTGGAGAAGGATATTAGATTTCTCAAAAATAAACCGAAACTTCAATGTGTCAAAATGTGAACTTGAAAGGTTTGAAAGGACCTACTCTCGCAGAGTTCACTTGTATCAGTGAAGTTAGTTTCTCCTGACTTTAGTCTGAATCCAGCATCACAGATGCAGTAGAAACCTCCAGCAGTGTTATGACATGATGCGTGTTTTCCACAAAAACTGGGATCATTGCATTCATTTCTGTCTGTAATTTAGGGACAGATAATAAACAAAAACATGTCAACTGAAAACTCTCATATTAGACTGCAAGCAACAGATGGCCAAAAAAATACGTAGGATAAAATTGTTTGATACCAATACACTGAACTCCTTGTCCTGCATTAAATATTTCTTCTCCATTGCTGGAAATGTAGTCAGCTTTACATGTGCAATTATAACCTCCTTCAGAATTGACACATTTTGTATTAGGACCACAATCAGCGCTGCCAACCACACATTCATTGATGTCTGAAATGAGATGAACAGAGATTCAGATGTTTTCTCTGCTGCACAGAGATCATGTGAGATTCATCATATCAAGCTCTCTTTACCTTTGCATGAAATTGAATCCGCTTGTGTGAAATTACGAGTTGAATGAGTTGTGAATCCTTCATGACATTGACAGTAGTAGCTGCCAACAGTGTTGATGCATCTTGCATTTTTTCCACAAATGGATGGTTGAGGCACACACTCATCGTCCTCTATAACAATGACAGAGAAAGTTTGAATAACCATAGCACCTTTTCCTGATTTTTATTTAAAATGCATTAATAAGTGCTGTTTCATGAATGTGTCCTATATCTGCAATATAATTTCCAGCTATTCAATAATATAGAACAATATCAACAAAACTTGATTATTATTATTTGTGTGTGTGTGTGAATCTTGTATAAATGTTGGCATGCACAACCCAAGTAAAATCCTGTTAAGCCCTGACATCAGAGTATCATATATGTTCGCTTTTTTATTCATACCTACACACTTTCCACTGCGCTTTACATATCCACGTACGCAGGATGTTTGCATCAGGATGTTCTCTGTCAGTGCTAACAGAAGAACTATAAGCAGAAAATAAAAAGTCTGTTACTGCAGGTTTAGTGTCTTTGGTGTAGTTTGATGCACATATAGTAAGTCTGAGACCACACTGTTAATCTGAGATGTTTTTATGTTAACTTGGAAATATGCAGATAGTTTTAGGAATTGTAAAAAGTCAAACCAAAGGCATTCAGAAATTAAAATGTAAAGAAATTAATAAATTCATGATAATTTTCAATTTGACTAAAGTAGTTATGTAATGAAATGGTAACATTGACTATATTGCTCTCATGCATGTCAAACTGAGCCACATTTTGACCCATCCTAATCTCATAGGTAAGACATGCTAAAATTAACCAAAATTACTTATTGCCTATAATGGCTTTCTTGGCATTCAATTTATTAGGAGTAACAGTCTTAGAAGACAAAGTTGGAAGACGTATCAAAGAAAAAAATAATTCTATTACGCTAATTCTATTTCCACTCATTGTTCATGACAGTTGCATTGAGATGATGGCCAGTCAGGAAGTACACTGCTCGAGAGCTATGGGTGGGGTGCTGTGCAGTACTGTGGCTAACAGATTTAACTTAACAGAACCAGCATACAGATCACCGCACTGTCACATGCTTTGACCACAGGCTTGGTCAGCCAGAAGACTGTTAAAAAGTGCCGTAACACTTTTACAATCACATTGGTGACTCAGCCATAACCTAAGGTGTGGTCTTGCTCATTATTTTGAGCCTCTCAGCTGTGGACACATGAAAACACCTTGGATTTCCTGTCCTGATTTGGTTTCCGCCAATATTTTTCCATTGTCAAAATCAAAGCCAAGTAACTTCACGATTTAAAGTAGTTCACCCCAAAATAAAACAATCTGTCATAATTGACTCACCATCAAGTCGTTTCAAACCTGTATGACTTTCATTCTTGTGTGGAGCATAAAAAGGACATTTTGAAGTGTGTTTCTATCAATGGTTATCAAAGTGGTTTTGTTACCAACATTTTTCAAAATAAATTATTTTGTGTTCCCCAGAAGAAATAAAGCCATAAAGGTTTGCAGCGACAATGAGTAAATGATGACAGAATCTTCATTTTTCAGTTTAACTTTTTTTTTGTCATTTTCTCACAATATCACATGAACTCACAATATTTTGATTATACAGTTTTACTATTGCAGTGTCTTTAAAGGTTAATGAGTTTGCATCTTTCCCCAAAATCACTTCTTTCATTTCACTTCACGGTTGTTTCCCAAACACTTAAACAGAATGTCTTAAGACTATGACAGCAGGAGCAAAACCCTCTGAGAAGACAAATGGATGTTGTGTTTCTTCTCCATTCATCAGTCACATTCAGCTGGTGCTTTCCAGATTACTGGAGCTCACAGGCCCTGCTTCAGATAAAAACTACCCTATTGTGACATCAGATTTTCCTATCTGTGGCAGTTTCCTTTCATGCCCATTTACTGTTTCTCTATCTTTGAAACTGCAACGATTACGCAGTTGTTGGCAGGGCAACGTTTCATTTAGCAGAACCACACAGTGGCTCCATACAAACATCTGTCTCTACATTCATCAGTGGAAACTTCAATCCTGAAGAAATCTGAAGCGTGACTCACCCAGACTCAGCAGATGCTTGTGCCTCATGGTCAAAGAGTGAAAGAAACTCGCAAAATGAAAAATCAATAATGAAAATGGCTTATGGTTTGATCCTGAGCAACTTTTATATTTGAATGCCTCCTTTTCTCAGTCTTGCTCTCAGACTAGGTCTTGTGTCTCTCTCGCTGACTCTAATGCTGAACAAGCCTGAAGTGCCTGAAAGAGTTTTGTTGGTCCAGCCCCCTGCTTTGGTTGACACCGAGAGGGAGGGAGTGGGACAAAAAGTTGCAAGAAAATGAAAATTGGCTTCATGATGTCAGTGTAGTGTTGAGTAACTCTTTCTTGGATGTTAATCTGTTCGCAGGATCTTTCTATTTCATTAAGTAGCATTAAAAACAAACAAACAAACAAAAACAAAAAACTACTGTTCAGTGTGTTTTGCTGAACCCAGTTCAATTATTAATATTGATAATGTTACACATAAAGCATTCAGGAAAAGTTGTAAATTAAATATAAGTTTAATAATGCAGCATTTTAAACATTGATGGGGGGGGGAAACATTTATTATATATGTACAGTAGTTATTTATGTAACTCAGAATACTCTATGCTGGTTAATACTGAAGATGCATGTGTGCATTTGTACGTGTGACTTCCTGTTTTCGTGTTGTCATGAAGGTGTCAAGGAGACCGTTCTGCTTTCAGTGCTGATATTTTATCACCAATGCAGTTTCTAACACATACATGTTTTTTTAGTATTGTTTTAGGTTAACAATACTCCAGTGTTCCTATCCCAAAAATGCATTTGCCAAAATAACCTTTAGCCTGTATTCATATGCAGAGGTTCCTATGGGAATGTTTGTTTGACAGATTTAATGTTACATTGTACTGACATTGTCCAAAGTTAAATTTGCTCAAACAATGTCTTCTAGCTGTGTTCCTTTGGGCTAGATTCATAAATGGGACAAGTCAACAAGTAGGCTAATGTCCCAGACCTCTCAACAATGGCACCCATTTGTGTAGTTCTGGTGTTGCTGTGACCTGTTGATTGATTCTTTGATATTGCAGCTTTACAAGCATTGTGGAAGAAAAATGACTTTCTTCTTACATCATATTTTAAAATTGATGTTGTTGTCAACATTGGAGAGATTGTATCGCTACCCAAAAATAAATGAGGACTACTCAACCTACTCAACATCGTACAGTAAGCGCACTCTCAAAGCAAAAAGTATAAGTGCTCAAGTATAAAGTATAAGACAGCTCAGTGCATGTTTTCTTTTATGGAGAAGACAATCCCATATTATACACTATGATGAGCTATGTATTTTGGGATTCATAAACAAACATCCAAGCTGAGGTATGAAGCAAGAGATTTGTTCGAGATACTGGTCATTGTAAAGTTCTTAAAGGGATAGTTCACCCAAAAAGGAAAATTACCCCATGATTTACTCACCCTCAAACCATCCTAGGTGTATATGACATTCTTCTTTCAGATGAATTCAGTCAGAGTTATATTAAACAATGTCCTGGCTCTTCCAAGCTTTATAATTGCAGTGAATGGTGGTTGAGATTTTGAAGCCAAAAAAAGGGGGGGGTGAGTAAAGTAAACTTTAGCAACCATATAGCAATTTGTTAAAGGGGTCATCGGATGCAAAAATCACTTTTGTTGTTGTTTGAACATAAATGTGTGTTGGAAGTGTGTGTACACATCCACCCTATAATGATAAAAATCCCTTTTATAAATCCCTTTTCTCAAATCAGGCTGTTCTGAGATTCCTGTCAGAATGACGAAGTCCTGCACAGGCCGCTCCCACGATAGTTGATTAACACGGCCGTCTTACCTTAGTCCCGCCCTGAGTGAGCTGTGAGCTGTGAGCCATTGTGTCGACTCTGGTGCAGGGGAAGACAAGAATGTCTCCGATTAAGCGATTGAGGTGTTTTGTTGCTGGATGTAATAATGAACATAGCAGTCGTCATTTACTCCCGACATCTGAGCCGCTGAAGACGCAGAGGATTAACGTTACTTTCGTTTTTTGAAAGGAATGCGCCGATCCCCGATCAGCCTAAATGCGTTTAAGTTCGCGCGAATCATTCATGATCCAGCTTCATCTACAGAAGAAGTGAGTATAAGGTTTTTTTTATGAATCTTTGCAAATCGCCTTTCCTAATAATGTGCTAGTTAGCCAGTTTCGCGGCTGAAGTTTACAGTCTGCTCGTCACCCCACGGAAGAGAGGGGCGGGGTCAGCAGAGCTCATTAGCATTTAAAGCAACACGGACTAGAACGGCGTGCTGAAAACAGAGCTGATATTGACAGGGTAAAAAGGGTGTTTTTTACACCATTACCATTGAGAAATTTTAACCAAAGTATGTTATAGACTTTTCATTAAGACCCTAAAGAATCATATCAGCTTGTGGAAAATGGGCATCCGATGACCCCTTTAAAATCTACCCACAACACGCATTGTGACAGCACACATTATTTTCATTTTCTTCAAATCTAGTCATTCGAAAGAAATCTATAAAATTTAAACATTGTGTTGCTTTGTTGAAGGATTGTTTTTTTTTTAAATTCATGATTGATATGAATACAGAAAGGTTCAGTTGAATCTCTATTTGAATCATTCATTCAGTTCTGCTTTCTCTGCAGCCTTATGTTATTGTAGACACCAGCGAACAGTACATGGGCAGAACAGGATATGAACAGGAAATTACAACAGATGGAACAGGTCTGCCAAACATGTCAAAATTAACTCATATCTCTCTCATTCTTTTACATAATAGAGACTCTGCAGAGGTGCTGAATTTTTGGAGGCGTGGCCTAATGTTTAGAGGGTCTAGTGCAGGGGTGTCAAACTCAGTTCCTGGAGGGCTGCAGCCCTGCATAGTTTAGTTCCAACCCTGCTCCAACACACATACCATGTAGTTTTCAAATAAGCCTTAATGACTTGATTAGCTGGATCAGGTGTGTTTAATTAGGGTTGCATCTAAACTGTGCAAGGCTGTGGCCCTCCAGGAATTGAGTTTGACACCCCTGGTCTAGTGACTAGAGACTAGTAACCCACAGGTCATGGGTTCGAGTCTCGGTAACTGCAGGGAATGTAGGTGGGGGGAGTGAATATAACGCGCTCTCTTCCACCTTCAATACTCATGACTGAGAGGAGACCCTTGAACAAGGCACTGAACCAAAAATGGCTGCCCACTACCAATATGGCTGCCCCATGTTGAGTGTGTGTGTGTGTGTGTGTGTGTGTTTGTTCACTACTCACTGTTGTGTGTGTGCACTTGGATGGGATAAATGCAGAGCACAAATTCAGTAGCCATACTTGGCCACACGTCACGTCCTTTCCCTTTCCTCCTTTCCTTAAATTGCTGATAGGATGTAAAGTAATATTGGGTTCCCCTATTAAACTCCCCAACATATGTTAATAACAAACACTGGGGCATAAATACAGAGGGGATAACAAACCTAACTAGACACAGGAGCAAATGATCAGGGAGAAATGAGGGAAACTACAAGAGCTACAAAAGGACTACAAACAAAACTAGAAACAGGAACAGAACAAAAAAGTCCAAATGGAAGAAAATATTTGTTTGTACACAGCGCATGTCTGTAGCTCTGTGGATCCAACAGAAACACAGAAAATTACACAAACATACTGTGCAGTGCCTCAAAAATGTTTGAAGTCATATTTACTGGATAGATCTATGAATGCCACACTTTTGTCACTTGCTGTATTGGACTATGCTAGGACTCTAACTTTATGCATCCACTAAAAATGTTTAGCATTAAAAATGTTTAGCTTTAGCATCGTCTGGATTTAATGCAATGATAGTGAGACATTTTAAAGTGTGGCTTAAGTGTCCAAATGCATTGTGAAGACAATGTATGCACTACTGCTTAAAAATGTAGGGTCAGTGGGATTTTTTTTTGTTTTGCAAAAATTATCTGATGCTCACCATGCAAGGCTGAGCAGAAATACAGTCAAAATATTGTGAAATATTATTTGAATATATTTAAAAGTGTAATTCATTCCTGTGATGTCAAAGCTGAATTTTCAGCATCATTACTCCAGTCTCCAGTGTCACATGATCTTTCAGAAATCATTCTAATATGCTGATTTGCTGCAGTTGCTGAATGCTTAATATTTTTGTTTTCAAGATTCTTTGATGAAAACGTTGAAAAGAAATTTGAAATATATATGATATATATATATATATATATAAACCCAAACTGTATTGTTGCCTGTTCCAAGTATCCTAGATCAATCAAGTTCTGGTCAGTGTTTACTACCAATGTTTATCTTGTAATACTGAAACCCACAGCTGTTCCTCTTATTCTGCTCTTGTCCTACACGCTGCTGACAGCAAGAGAATGAGTGCTGAGAAATTGCTTATTCCCAAGATGTTTGGTGATACCAGACAGAAAAGGGATTTTGGTGCACAGTATTTATAAAACCCCACACTAGGGAAATACCCCAGCTGTAAGAGAACATGAATATAAAATAGAGGATGTGATTGCAGATGTGCAAGAAGCCACAAGATGTATCATCCGAAACAAATATATTCAATGTTATTCATCACCGTAAAATAAAGCGTCACTTTTTCATTTCTCCAAAATAAGGTCTTTATTTTGGGTGTTTATTTTATTTAATGTTCTATAACATAAAGATTTCAAAATTCCTATTTTAATTTAGAAAGCAGTACATGGGTTTGATTAAGAAAATAGCTTAATATAATAGCTAAACAAAACTTATTAGTTACTAGTTACAAATACTATGTACATGTATGCTTCTTTCTGTATTATTGTAGTTATTTCTGAAGCAATGTAAAAATGTTTGAAAATGTACACTTTGTGAATTCGTTTTAATAAATAAATGCCCCTTTTCACAAACAAAATATTATACTACACTATTGTCTGCTTATTGATGGTGTAAATGCTCTACTATCTGTAATTAATAACCAGTACACTGTGTTCTGTTATTGTGCTGTGACTGTCCTTCCTCTTTCTTAGCAGCTTCTTGTGTACTTTTCACCTCTCTTTCATCTTGAGTGCTTATATAGCGTTTAATTTGAACCAGGAACTACCCAACAGCCACCTCTTCCTCCACAAACCACAAAACCAACATGGTGTGTGTCACGGCTTCACACTAAATGTGTAGGTGGTTGCTACGTTGTTCGTTGTAATTTCTAGTGT